AAGGAAACAAGACAGTTGTTTTCCCACTCTGCCAAGCTTTGTTATTAGGAGCAGTAGAGATGAGAGTTCCTATCCATGACTGCTGCTTTGCAGTATCAGCAAGGAATCCCACTGCACATTAAAGATCCTGAGGGACTTGTTCAGGATGTGGTTTTTGTGACAGAAAACTACTACAATGACAAAATCCTACAGCTGTTTTTCCCTGCTGTGCAGAATAACCTGTCTTGATCAAGGTTAACAGCAATCAGCTCATCTCAGTCAAACACTCTGTTAGTTCTGATGTTATTATCCTGTGGATCAGCAGGCCTGTGAAACAGGAGATTGCTTCTTCAGAAAGCATCCTGCCTTTTCAGACCTTTTTATTAAAAAAAAAGTTACTTCAATGCTTTATTTGACAAAATTTTATACAGTGCATTTTTCAATTTAAAAGGAAGGTAATGGTATTCAGATGCTGAATAAGCTAGTGAAAGCTAGGTTACCCAAAGCCAGACTGGGGTTACCAGAAGAAAAGCTGTACTATTTGAATAATGATTTAATGAAATTCTCTAAACACTAGAGGTAAGCCATCAAAACTTGAGAACTGGGAAAGAGAATAGTGAGGCTCCTTTAAGAAGTAATAGCACTGAAAGCTTGAAATTTTCCTACATAGGTAGTTCATTGTTCTGATCAACCTTAATCCTGTGAAGGACATGGCTTGGGGTCACCTGCCAGCACATTTCCCTGACTGTTGTCTTGTTTGAGTCATGTTTCTTTTACAGTAGAAGTACTTCAACTGAAACTCTGCTTCTACAGGATAGCCCAGTGCAAATATGTATTTCCCCCAGCAGACGCTCCCACAAATATATGTTTCCCCCAACAGATGCTCCCTACTATCCCTGGATATTGAGTACTGCCAGCAAGGGGTGTACTGAAAGTGACAGAAAATGTACCATATGCGAGATGTTACTTGGTGTCACTTCAACCTCTCTGTCATTCATTCAAAGTTGAATCATCTCCCTTGGGGGAAAGGTCAGGCTGTATCTTACACCATATTTTGTCTGGTTTATAGTAGGACATAGAAAAATGTTTGCCTTTCCTTGTGTTCCATCTACGAGCATTTAAATTGGCATTGTTCCTTCCAGTTGCCACTGCTTTAGTGCAGTGCAATATTGGACAAAAGCCTCTGTGAAGCAACTGTGACTGATCTTTATTTAGCAAGGATCTGGAGGATCACCTGTTGAGGTTGGAAAGTATTTCGTAGTAGTGAAAAGCCTCCCGTAGTGCCTTCCTACGTGAGCAACTTCAGTAGCTTTTCATTTGCTCATTCAAATAACATCAAGCCCAACACTATGACGTACATAGGAGTTATTATCTCTGTATGGAGTCTCAGAAAAGAAGGCAAATCAATTTCCCAGGACCTGCTGCAAGATTGCAACACTTTCAGAAAAATTTGCTTGGTTTACAAGTTTACATTTACTAGAACTGCCTTGCTGGGACCCGTACGCTGTGTGACTCTCATCCACTCAAAGCCTGGAACTGCCCTCTGTTCCTTCACCCTTCACCCATTAAAAACAAATAATGTGACCCTTTTATATGCACAAAACAATGACACAGTAAAGACCTTTGGCTCCTGCCAATGCCAGAGCCCCAGTCAGATTATAAAAAGATATTTATTAAAAAAGAGATGACAAAATAACATTTACTGTTACTTCTGATTTCACTTTCCTTTCTCCTCGACTTCTGCTCAGGAGATTCCGTTACTAAGTTAGAAACTTCAGTTGTCTTGTCATTGTACCTGACATGTGCTAGCAGCTGGAGGAAGAAATGCCATTGAATAATTACAGAAAAAAAGGGCTGGAAAGACCCTTGAGAGTCCATCCCAATGCTTGGACTGGGTAATCCAGATTGTAATTATGTCTCAAAAACAGCTGTTTAACAGTTTTTAAAAGTTTGTGATGATGAAGATGGAAACTGCAAACTCCACAGTCAGTCTCATCTAGCACTGTCCACACCATTAGAAAGTCTGTTCTATGTCTAATGTAAGTGGTGGACAACAGATAATTAAGTTCCTCTTTATGGAAATTAGTAATTAAGTAATTAATTAAGTAATTAAGTTCCTCTTTCAGACTTGAAGATTATGATATCCTAATCTTTTTTTTAAGACTATTTCTTTCAATTTCTTCTTACAGACTGTGTTTTGTATTCCTAGCCTTTATTTTCCTAGCTCTTCTCTACAGCCCTCCTGAAATGCACCCCACATAGCTGCATGTGGTGCTCCAAGCTGAGGCTTTGCCCCTGGCAAGCACAGTGGAAGTACTGTTATAATGTCCTACATTTTTACACATGCCAATAGCACACTGACTGTCTATTTTTCCAACAAAGTCATCTGCTGTATAATTGATGGTCAGATGAAATGCTCTTCGGAGAGAAAGTGCAAACAACTGAAGGTGAGGAGGCTGTGCCAGGACAGGGAGCTCTTGACTCCCGTGTCCTGGACTTGCTTTCAGCACACAGCCAATGGAATACGAAAAATGCAGATCAGTTATGTAACAAATAACTGCAGAAGTTTCCAAGGGAAAAAGGTAGCTCTCCAGTGGTTACAGCTACCAACAAAACAACAAGACAGTGTGAACAATACTTTTAGCAATCTGTGTCTCTCCACTAACCATTCATTTAAGCAGTAGGAGAATTGGCAAAACTGTCTTCACCACTGCAGAGACCAGAAATGAAATGATTTTCCATTTTAAGCAGCAGGGGAAACAGCAAAACAGGAATGAATGAACAAAAAGCAGAGTTCCCTGGTAAAATGGTTTGAGGGCTGTCTTCTTTGCTTAAAAAAAAAGGAAACAAAAAAGTATGATGAAATTTAGGAGCAGTAATTTTAGGGGTCTGGGAATTAATTAATTAAACTGTAGCCCTACACAGCCCATTGGGAAAGAACTGGCACTTGGATCAAGCTGTTGTAAGAGTGTGTAATCAGTAGCACATGTGGAAAGATGCTGAGCACCTAAGTCAATGCTGGTATGACGCAGATGCCAGGCTCAAGGCAGCTTGCCAAAAGTAGTCCACTGTCTGTGGACAAAAGTATTACATACCTCATATGTAGTATGAATTGGGTTGAGACTACAACAAAAGACATTTGTCAGAGGACCCATGCAAAAGCCACTAGTGGTAACAAAAGTTAACCTGAATTCTTCTATATTCAGAAATACACAGAACAAGCAACTAGGTACTTAAGAAATGTGATTGGGTGCAAGATACGACATGTGAACAGGAACTGATTTTCATAAGAGGTAATGAAACCCGTCTGCCTGCAGAAGGAGCTACCCAACTCAAGATCAGAGTAGAGCAAGTCCTCCTTAAAAGGAGGCCGAAATTCTAGAAGTCAGAAAACCAAAGCAGCAGCACTGAAGTGAAAAATGACTCAATGCTAGAAGCAGTGTCTCTGTGCAAAAAGAAAGAAAGGAGCCATTCAAAGTTTATCTCAAGTAAGATTGTACTACTACTTGCTGTAGGTATAAGGCCTGTGAAGTACTAGCCAGTTGCTATGAGTTTCAGGAGGGGATTATAGCTTGAATACCAGTTCTGAGGCTGGAGTTTGTAGCAACATTCTGTGAAGTGCACCTGCAAAGACAACTTTGCAACACTGTGGTTAGAGCATGAACTCTGTAGGCTATTCATCCTTTAACAACTGAAATGTAAAAATTGTGTGAAGTCTGTAATAGACTTGGATTGCTTTAGAGAACTATTTTCATTGTATGAAGCACTTACAGCATACCAGAACCCAAATTCTGGATTCCTTTATCGAGGATTGCATGCAAAGCCACCTCCAAGTTCTTAATCAGGGCTGAGCAGGTGTCATCCCCTTTCTCCACCAGCCAGTAAATTTAAATAAAGATTCTCAGCCTCCAGCCTCGCCCCGAGATTGGCGCGGGGAGCAATCTCGCAGGATGCTTTGCGTTTTCCGGGCATCCGCCTGCAGGGCAGCGGACTGAGCGGCAGCAGGGCTCCGTAGGGGCAGGTCTTTACAAGCACTCCTGGCAGCTCTTCAGTCAGAAACAGAAAGCACCGAATTGCCAGAACACTCTGCCTTTAGGGGCAGCAAAAGAGCTGATTCCAACCATTTCACAGGGAGTCCTGGGCTTTGGAGCAGACTGGTACTGGTTGTCATCCAGTCTTCACGGACTGGTCACTGCCACCTGCACAGCGGCTGAGACCTGCCCTTTTGGAGAGCCCCTTTCCTGGACAGGAGCTGGATATGTATAACAAAACAACGTAAAGCTTATGTACTGAATCCATCATTTCTGCCCTAGTAATGCCATGAAACATAGTGAACTATGTACTACTACTACTACTGAGCCATCTGTGTAACCCTTCTGCCAAAAAGATTCAAGAGGGTATTTTAAAGAACAAAGTAGCTATTTAAGCCCACCCTGCTGATTCGGGTAGATAAAGGTTTCTGAGCCGCCTCAGGAAAGCTCAGCCCGGGGACTGCTGAGTTGTCACTGGCGGCACAGGCGTCCCTATGATCGTAAAGCGAGGGGCAAAAATCAATGTCCTTACAGGTAATGAATGATGAGGAGAAACCCTGCGGGGCGAGCGAGCTGCTCTCGTTAACCGGGGAGCGCTGAAACAGCCGACACAGCCGCTCCAGAAATGCTGATGGAAAATGCCAGCCTGCCCCGCCAGCCCAGCAGCCTCCCAAGGCCAGCGGCGAGGGGAGACCTTTGACTGTAAGGTCAGCGTGGTTAATCTTTTCCCCGTGTAATTACAGCCGGCTCGGCGGGCCCTTCGATACAACTGCGGCTTTGCAGCCACCCCTTGCACACCCCGCTCCAGGCTCGGCCCCTCGGGCCAGCCCGCCCCGGGGCGGAGCCCCGCCTTCCCCAAAAGCCGCCGCGGCCGCGGGGAGCGGCGCCGGGATTTGGGAGCGGCGCCGGGATTGGATTTGGGAGCGGCGCTGGGATTTGGGAGCGGCGCTGGGATTTGGGAGCGGCGCCGGGATTGGATTTGGGAGCGGTCCGGTCGGGACGGCGGGACGGGCGGTCGGGCACGGCTCGGCGGTGAGTGCGGAGGCTGCTGCTGCTGCCCTCAGGTCTTGGAGGGTGGGAGACCATTTTTCCTGTGAAGTTTATACAATCGTTGTCTCCCTAGACCCGAGTCCGTTTAAAATAGTTAAAACTACTAAAAGCTCGAGTATAGTACGTGCTTAGTAGGCTAGCGGTGTTTTCAACCAGTATATAATTCGGTGTGTGGCTTCTCAAGCCTGTTCCCCGCCGAGGAAATACCGAGCTATTTTAGTGATTTGTCCTTTTATGGAACTCGGACTTTTGGGTTTAGTCCAGTTACGCTGTGGTTAAAAGAAAGAAGATTCTCTTCTGACCTCTGCAGAAAGTGCGTGGCTGAATCTCTGTATTAATTCAACCCAAAGTCCTTTAGTGTTGAGTATCCCCTCTGACATCGTTGATACTCAGGGTACGGCAATGTATATTTTTGTAAAGACAGTATCTTTCTAGTAAAAGTAGAGACCTTAATGTTTTCTATAATGATGGCTTGATTCTCTTTTTAACTAGTTTGTCACTCACACAGCTGATACAGAATTCTTCTGAGTAGACACTTACTATTTTTATTGATATAGGGAAGAAGTTCTGACTAAGAAGCAAACCAGGAATTTGGAATATAAGCGGGAAATAAGACACCTGAGGTCATGGGGCGAAATTACTGGCTGGTGTGTCTTTTTTATTTTTTATTTTCTGATAAAAAATCTTCCTCTTTGCTCTATTTTTTTCTTCTTCTTCATACTTCTTTCTAAAGTATGGAAATCTAGAAGAAGGGGGCTGGAGGTTAGAAGTTGAATGGTTCATGTGGTTAGTTTAGCATACTGGCAGGAAATGAGACTTGAAAGCCTTTCAGATGTACCCACCTTGACCTTCACCTTTGGATCTGTCAAAGGAAGAGTGTGCTATAAAATTTATGCATTAGGGTATCCTACTTCTATATTGAAGCTTCAACTAATATTTGTAAGTCTGCGTGCAAGTTGAAAGCTTATTTGACTGTGCTCAGAATTACATAGAAAAAGTGAGTAGCCTTCATTGCCTAGGCAGAGTGAAATGAAACAAACAGAAAAAGGATCTATCTTAGTTTTATTAGTATTATGGTTTTTGTGATAGATGAAAACTTGTTTTAGTGTGTTGGGGTGGCTTAACTATCAGTTTTGATAAGTTTCTCAGGACTTAAAATCAGGTGGGTAGTGGATAGTGGGCAAACTGAGCTTAGTTTTGTCTCTGTTAATTGAATGATCTGCCATTAATCATGGTAGAACAGGATTATGAGGAACTTGGCTGGAATTGGCCTCCCTCTGATACAATGTCATACCCGTGTGGCTCTGCCTCCTTCGTATTGAAAAGCTGGCATGGTCTAAGCCTGTGTGTCTAGACCTCTGCAGTGCCCTCTTTTTGGCAGTGTTAGTGGGGTGACCTTAGATGCCTTTTCCTTAGTTTTTGTTTTGTGGTGTTTTTGGTTGTTTGCTTTCGTTTGTTTGTTTCATTTTTTTCCTTCATCAGTGGTGTACTTTGCAGCAGTCTAAAGAGTGAGATGGATTTCTGTGCGTGTAGCTGTTCAGTATGTGAAATTGTGTGATTTTAGCTTCTTTCTTTTCCTCCTGTGTCAGAAGGCCCAGGTACCCATCATGAAGTAAAGATGATTTAAGGAAAATTAGAGCTGCAGAAACTGTTCAGGCCTGCTGAGTGTCTGCAACTCTGAAAATTCATTTAGTTGCTGGGTTATTGGTATTTCTAGAGGAAGTGACTAAAGAAGGTTCAGGTTCAGCTGTACAAAACACAGGTCTAAGTAACTGGTGTAATTGTGATATTTTCCAGTTGGGCACTATGGGTGATTAAAGAGGGGATAATAATAGGGAGTTTGAGTGCCAAAGGAAGTATTTTCAAATACAATTTTCCCATAAAATTAATTGGCAAAAATAACTGTAGGATGCAATGTTTAGGGGGATATTATAGAAAATGGGGAAGAATAACTATTTATATTGTGAGGAAAGGGAAAATAAGATGTTGAGACACGTGCTTGCTCTTGGGAAGGGCAGTCTTGTATTGGCTGGAATAGTTTGGTTTTAACGTTCTTATCTCTTTTCTAATACAATTGGATTACATTAATATCTTGCAAAGCATATGCTATAGTTAATCATGAATTGCAGTCACTTTGTCAAATTCACTTAATTGACACAATATTCATGTAACGTTCACAAGAATGAATATTAGGAACACTGGTAGCAGAAATAGGTCTGAATGGAAGCAAAATGGTGCATGCACCTCTATTTTCTGTCCAAGTGTACCAGCTTAGCTCATGCTAAATAATGTTGGTAACTGGAAAAAAGGAAGTTCTGTAATGACTGCAGGATGTAGTCAAACTAGTTCGGCTTAGGGAAAAAATCCTTGGAGACTGTTCACTGCAGTGCTTCTTGATATTGTGCATGGGAGACAAACTGCTTTAACCTTTCATGGTGAAGGGAGTGGTGTCCCAAATACATAAAGGGTACTGACTTGAACCCAGTTGCCTTTCTAAGATATTCCTGTCTTTCTTCTGATTGTCAAAGGTATTAAATGTTTTTTTTTTTCTCTTATGTTTTTTTTTTAATCTTTACTCATGTTTGAAAGGCCCATTTTAAATGGACCAGGCATAAAGTTTTTACTAAGTGTTGGCATGTATATTTACGGCATGTACTTACAGTAGTGTAAAATCTTCCTCTTTCACAGAAAGAGGAACCAATAATGCCGGCACTGAACTGGAAGCCCTTTATCTATGGAGGTTTAGCATCAATCACTGCAGAATGTGGTAAGCTTTTGCTTTAGCTCTTGACATGATTTCCTTTACTTGGATAGTCTCTATGTAAAGCAAGTTTGGTTCCATGCTGCCAGTGACATAGCAGTATATGGTGGTCTGCAGCATAAAGCTTTTTGCTTAATGATGACTGAAGAGTTCTTCTGATCTTTGTTGCAATGTCAGAACAATTGTATCTGTAAACTCTCATCCCTGGTGAATTTATTTTTATACATATTTTATCTTGGTACTTTATTATTTGGTGTTTGTTTGATATGTTCCTATACAGTAGTCATAAGTAGATACAGCTTCTGCTTTGCTGCAGTAGAAAAGTTGCACCCTTAACTTGTAAACTTTTCTTTCAGCTTTGCTGAGTATCTATGTTGCATTTTAAAGTCTAAATAATCTTTTCTTGAATGTAAGTGGCTGCTTAGATTTGAACACTTAAATTCAATAGTGAGCAACACAGACTAATTGCTGTAGTGAGACAGTGCATCTGATGTTTTAGGCCTGCTCTAAAGGGAAACCTAAAATATCGACATCTTTGTGAAGTTGTATCTGAAATGCATGTACGTGAAAATAAAGGAAATCTGGATTTTCATTGTAGCAGGACATGATTTGGCATGTGGTGGGCTTGCATGCAAGGTCTGTCTAGAAAAGTAGATGCAGTGTAAAATTACACTTCAAACTACTATTTTGTTTTCAGAGTAAGGTTGAAAGGTCATCTGGTCCACCCCCCCTGCTTTGAGCGAGAACATTTTCAATTAGATCAGGTTGCTCAAAACCTTGTCCAATCTGACTTTGAATGATTCTAGGGATGGGAAGGATTTCTACTTAGAAAATCTGTGCAAACTTGAGTTCAAAACCTGTCATTATTTGACTTGACTGAATATGGCAAATAATGCCAGAAGCTTTTAAGGAAGACAAAATTCATGAAAGCTTTGCTTGTTTGGTAAGCCTCATTTGAAGAGTGGTAGTTAATCCTGACTCCTGTTAGTGCTTAGGTGAGCATGGAATATTGAGGTGGTCCTTTTTCTGGATGGATACAGTTTCTGAATCCTTTCCTAAGGGGAGCATGGAGAATATGAATTGAACATAACATAACAGAAGGCTACAGGAAGGCAGTAACAGAAGTAGGTACTGCTGCTATTGCTTTTTCAGATACTAGGCCAGAATCTGTGGAGCATATCCTGTGGCATTTCTTTGCCTCCAGTGATGTCCTCTTCACAGGTGTTGGTAGAATACATGTGCAAACGCAGTGCTTGATTGGGATTGCAGAGTCCTGTTCAGTGTGGCTGTTTACAACCAGGCAGTGCTGTGTTGCCTGACAATATAGTGAATACGGAATGTAAACACAGGAGGTAGGCAGGGCCACTGACAGGCTTCAGAAGAAGGTGAAGGTGATAGAATGTGAATCGCTTCTTTAAAAGAAAGTCTTGGTAAGGAAGGCTTCTTTCCCATGGGAGTACTTTTATATATTGTGATATATAATAAATGTTGCTGTTTCTTATATGATGTTCTTTGTTGTCTTTGGTTAGTAGGTACTTCATTAATTTTCTCACTGACTTTCCTTTAAGGTACTTTCCCCATTGATCTGACGAAAACACGTCTCCAAGTTCAGGGTCAAGTTAATGATGCCAAATATAAAGAGATCCGCTACCGTGGAATGATGCATGCCCTGGTCAGAATATGCAGAGAAGAAGGATTGAAAGCCTTATACTCTGGGTAAGATTAACTGAGTTGCAGCAATGTCTTATTGTTATAAGAATAAGCCCATTGTATGTGAATGTTCGGGTTTTAGGATTACAAGACATTTGGCTGGTCTTAATCTGGAAGTTGGAAGACCCAGCTTCGATACTTTCAGTGCTGCACACTGCCAGAGCATTTCATGTGTTAAAAAAAAACCCAGAAAACCCTCAAACAACAAAACCTACATGAAACAAAATAGCTAAACATAAGGTTATTCTCTACAGTGCTGCTATGGTTGTTCCATCTCTCAGTATTAAAATTGAATTTACCTTTGTCTATAAATGAGCATGCTTTTCTTCTTTCATGCAGGATGGTGGGGGAACTACATTTCAGACATGACTGCCAGCTGTTTTATAGATTACAAGTTAGAGCATGGTCTAATAGTAATAAACCCTTCACAGTTCATTCATGTTCTTGCAGGCTCTATTTAAAAAAAAACCAACCAAAACCCAAAATCTAAAAAAGCTCCAAAGCTTGTTTTGTTTATAGTGAGTTTAAATTGTTGATTTAAATGTAGAAACTTTTGTCAGCTAGGTAACTCTGCACTAGGAAAAATTTTCTGATGAATTTTGAGATCTGGAGCATAAACATTATTGCTGCTTGTTTTTACAGGATTGCACCTGCAATGCTACGGCAAGCTTCATATGGAACGATAAAAATAGGCACTTACCAGAGCTTAAAAAGAATGTTTGTAGAGAATCCAGAAGGTGAGTAGTTATTTTCTGTTTAATTGAGGACTGATTTGCTTGAAGCTGATTGTTTCCATTTGGTGTCTTACTGTAGAATTTGAACGGGTCTACTGAGAAAACGTTCCTTATACCAGTTACAACAAAGTTAGCAAGGGTAACTCGTCAGAGCAGGTTTTATGGCTTCTGTAACTGGCACTTTCTGGTTAAATGAGGGGAAGCATATCCTGTCCTAATGCATCTTAAGCTTTGTAAATCTGCAGCTGAAATATTTTTTTGTGAAATAGATGAAACCCTCATGATGAATGTTCTGTGTGGCGTTCTTTCGGGAGTCATCTCGTCATCTATTGCCAACCCTACAGATGTCTTAAAGGTAATTATGTAGAGCTTGTCTTTTTAGTTTTTGTTCTCTCCTGAGGTAAAAACAGTGTCCTGATGAATATAGGATTTGTTTTGTAACCCTATTTATTCTCCTCTCTTAACTTTTCAAAAATCAGTAACATCCTGAATTCTTGGAACCTCTTTCTGGTCCATAATAATCATTTGGAAGTATGCATGGGGAAGGTGAAGGCTGGGGAGGTAGTTAGATCCACATTATTGAGGGAGGGTGGGAAATAACTTTGATGCTGTAGTGTTTGTGTGGAAGCCATGCTGCATATTTCATCTGTACTTCTTGGTAACACTGTTACACTTAGATGTTTCTAGAGCTCAAAATAGGTGACGGTCAATTAAGAGGCAAGAGTTCCACTGAATGCTGTTTGCTACTCTATGATTCCTTAACACTGTAGAGAGGCCTTGCAAACCTGTGTTCCAAGAAAATGGTGTTCCAGCATCAGTCATTTAAAGTGAATTAATAAAACAACCACCTCTTTAAGAAATCTGTTAGCTTTGTCACAGTCAGTTACTTGCAAGGGTTGATGGTATTTATCTTATAAAACTGGAGCTTGTGACTTACACAGCTGCTCCTAATGAAAATGAAGTCAAGAAAACTCTCTATGTTCTTCTGAAACTACTAAAAATCTTAATTAATCCTTCATAGTGCTAGTGTGGTTTTGTAGTGGCATTTCAAACAGAAGCTTGTACTTCAATTAGCTACTTCCTAAAATTATGTGCACTTACCAAGTCACTTGTTGACAACTTGTATTTGGAAGTTGCTGTGGTAGGTTCCTAAAGATGTTCTTATAAATCATGGTTGAAGACCATGGCTCTCAGTGGCTGAAACATGAATCCTTTTAACCTTTGATTTCACAATATTCTGTGAGAGCACTGTAAAGGACATCCTGCAGAACCCATCTGCCAGTCTTATCTAAATGGAGCCATGTACCCATACAGAAATAGAAGTGACCTAATGCAGCTAAGAATTCTACCACATACTTGTTCAAAATTAGCAGCTGCATTTGGATATAGTTAAGGCAAAAGATTGCACTAATGTTGTGATCATGTCAGCTCTTGGTTTTATACCCAAAGAGAAACTGACTTTACTACTTGCAATTGTAACTTATACTTTAATCTAGTTTTACGATTTTATTGGTTATATTTATCTTTTAATTGTATCTTCAAATGAATCTCAGATCAGAATGCAAGCTCAAGGTAGAATGATTCAAGGAGGAATGATGGGAAACTTCATAGAGATCTACCAAAAGGAAGGCACTAAAGGATTATGGAAGGCAAGTCCTTTTTTAACTGTATCTTAAACTTCAACTACACTTTTTTGCATAGCTGAATGTCATGTATTCCTACAGTGTTCTCAGCTCAAATATGGAGGATGTAATGTCTATCATTTGTCACGACTGCGTCACTGCTGGTGTCTGTGCTTTTTGGTGAAGGGTTACAGCCAGTCTTGTGTGCGAGGATTAGCTGCCACTTAGGAAAGACAAATGTAGGATTCAATTTGGGTGGCTGGCTCTAGGAATAGTTCAACAACCCTTTGCATGACACCTCTCAATCTGTATGCTCTGTCTGTTCTAAAACATATGCTAAAGAACATTTGGAAGCAAAGGAGCTACTGAACATCCCCTCTAGCTCAGGAATTTTCGTTTTCAATCTTACAGGTCTTACAGTCTTACAATCTTGGGCCAGTTATAGTCAGTGACAGTATAACAACTGAAGAGCCAAATGGAAAATTGTTTTGAAACAGCTGGAAAATAGGAATGTTTTTCTATTAGTGTGCTCTTTCTCACAAAGTTTCTTGATCTACAGTTTTCTGTTCATCTTCCTTCATCATCAGTTTTTCAGCTAGCAGTAAAGGAATACTGGTTTTGAGGTTTTAGCAGACTGTTGTTGAAAGAATTGAGGTGTTAAGCAGAGATAGAAAATTTACTTAAAAGACCTGAAGTTGCCATTCTATATGGAGAAGTGATTTAGCTGTTATTTAAAATTTGTGTTTTTGGAGCACATACATCTAAGACTTGTACTAATTAGCCTAATTTGAATTTGCAATGTTCTTAGTAGCTCCCTGTAGTGTTTTGTTTTGTATTATAAGAACTTGGCTTTTCTAACAGTGCACAAAGGTTGACTTTAAACTTCAGCTATATCCTTACTTTTCCCAGGGAGTATCATTGACAGCACAGAGAGCTGCTATTGTTGTTGGAGTGGAGCTGCCAGTGTATGACCTTACCAAGAAGCACATAATTATGTCTGGATATATGGGAGATACGGTATATACTCACTTCCTGTAAGTTTGTATAATTGGTTGTACTCATGTAGCTCGTGATTTGTTAGGTCCTGCTACAGGGGAGATGAGTCTTTTGATTTATCTATCATCTGTCTAGTTGTAAATATACTTGTGATGCGTGTATAACTTTTAATGTAATAGCATCTCAAATGGTAGCATGGAAGCTAATTTTATTTAGCATTTGGATTTAGCTTTCTTTTGAAATATGGAAATTTGTTTTGTGGGTGGTCTGAATCATTCAACTGTGTAAATTGAGGTTAGAAGAAATTTATAGTCAAATATTACTCCTAGGGGCACAAACATCTTTTCAAGCATACTGTATGTAAGGGCTGTATATCAAATCTTCAGAATTACACTTTTATAGTAAATGAAAGTAACTTTTCAGAGATTTAATTTTTAACTAAAAACATCAGTTATTATTATTGTTTCCTGGGAAGGGAAAATTCTTGTATATCTGTGTGGTAGATAAGATTTCATTAAATCCTTCTTTTATTAGTTCCAGTTTTCTTTGTGGGTTAGCTGGAGCCCTTGCATCCAACCCAGTTGATGTTGTAAGAACACGCATGATGAATCAGAAAAGCCAACATGGGGGGCACTCAACCTACAAGGGCACTTTGGATTGCTTGTTACAGGTAAGTAGTTTGTGTTTCATCATAAATACAAACTGCTGCCACCAAGCAATGATTTTTGCTGGTGAGCTCAGAATTGTTCTGTTTTCCATAATAACTTAGATATGCATTTTGCCATAATGTTTAAAAGGACTATGCTGTCAGCAATGCACTCAAGTGTGAAAAGTATCTACTGTCTTGACAGAAAGGCAGGAAGAAAGTTAGTGTCTGCTGCAGAACCCTACTTCATTTGGGTGCTTGGATGAGGAGAGGAAGGCTCTCAGCAGCACTCTCTCTTGTTCAACTTCACACTGTATCAGGCTGACAGGAAATTATAATTTCATAGGTCAGTCCTTGAATAAGATCTTCAGGAGCAGATGGTTTTCCATATTTCTTGCTGTATAATGGAAAGTCTAGTACAGCCAGAGGCAAGGTCAACCTCTGATTTTGAGTACTTTGATTTGGTTTCTTAAGTCTCTAACTTTGTATGAGGTGAGACCATGATGGCCTTTTACATGGAGAAGAATGGATAGTAAGCTGTTGCTGTCTACCTGTTGACTGAACAGTCCAAGTCACATTGTCCACTAAAGTTTTTTGACGTCCATAAAGCAAGCTGAAATATATCAAGGGACTGCCAAATGTTAGCTACCGGTTTACAAATGGCAAATTTCAAGGGGCTGGCAAACGTGAACTGCAAGTTTACATCTAATTAAATGTATTTCTTTGTCCTGTCAGACAATAAATTTAAATGAAGGCTACAGGACTAAGCCACCCCTTTGTCTGGTACAGTTTTGTTTGCTGAGATGCTGTCTGGATTTCTCACTAAAAAAGAATTGCAGAAGTGTATTCTAATGTCTTTTGTTTTGTTTTTGTTTTTCCCTAGACATGGAAGAATGAAGGCTTTTTTGCGCTGTATAAAGGGTTTTGGCCAAACTGGTTAAGACTTGGTCCTTGGAATATCATTGTATCCTTTCCACAGGTGTGCAAAACTAAGTTAGCCATATAACAGCAAGTATTGTGTTTTACAGAATTTCTCAGTGTGGGAAGTGTCATATCAGCACAGATATTCCCTTTTTTTAATGAATGGAAAATTGTGCAGTTGACAGGGTTTTTTTGAGTCAGCAGCTTCCAGTCAGATTGAATTTGTGATTTACACAGAGTCAATACTGAAATATGAGCTTGCAAAATAATTTTCTGTTCTTCCAATTTCACACCTGTCCATTCCCCTTTGTTATGAGCCTAGTATTAATCAAAGTTGACCAGGTGAATTAGGAATGGGGGGGCTATTTCCAGAACTGGGGAAATTGTTGAGAGTTACTGATACAATCTTTTTGTTTATCTTAGTCTCACAATTTTGGTTTCAAGAGCCAGCTGATCAGAGCCCTGGGAAGTTGCGTTGGTAGAAATGTTTTTTACAGTAAACAAACCTTCTTTAGCCAATCAAAGATAAGTAAAGACTCTTAAGGGCTTTAGCAGTATTGTCCTGCCTCCTCAGTCCTGGGTTTAAGATCCTGAGGAGGAGGGATGGAGGGATTACTAATACAAAGTAATTTGTATGACCAGCCTTAAAGCAAGTTCCATTGTTCTGCCTAGTATTGTGTAAAAAAGTGGCCAACCTGCAGCATGGCATAGGAAGAACAAGGAGTGGAGCACAGTTGCACACAGGTGCAGCTGACCAGTTTTCACTGCATGATCATTAAAGTTTTCCTTAATCAGCTGTGCCAGTTCTTTCTGACATATGAACAGCTGAAGAAATTGGATGCCTGACATGCTGTGCTGTGTACAGAATTCTGTGAATGTACTGAGTTCAGAGCAATGTGCAAGTTGTCTTGAGTGTTTGCTCTTTATTGTCTGAGCTGCTGGCCAAAGGAAGAGGTCACTGCAAGACTGACTGAGAGGAATCTGGAAGTGATTTCAAGGCAAACTGGCTCCTGTAACCATGGTTTGTGCACGTGATTCAGTGGATGTGTGCACTGTTTTTCAGACTGAACTTAACATGGTGGAATACCTTCTGTCGACTCTGTTTCAGTGTCCTGATGCAACTTTGTGCATCTGAGTCTCAAAGCATAGTGGTTTATAAGAGTCAAAGAACAGGTTTTTTCCCTCTGTATTTCCATACAGGAAGGGAAAGAAAAATATTTCTGTAAAGGAAAAAAGTATTTCTGTAAGGGAAGAAAAGCAGAACCAAGGAGCTGGACTTTTCCTGCATTCAGAAATGTATACAATTTGTATATATATTTGTAATAGCTTAAAGCTTCCAGTTAACTGGAATTGTCACAAGACATCTCTGCTGACTTTCAGGTTGGCAAAATAACTACTGCAGTATAAAATCTGTTTCTGGTTTTGAAGCTTTCCTGTGTTCTAAGTCCTGAAATGTCTGCATAATTTTCTGGGAATAATCCAGCTTCATTAGCAAGCGTGGTTGCTAGAGTTGACAGTTTTTCATAGCTTGAAGAAAGTTGGTTTTTTTTCTTCCAATGTATAATTCTTGATTTCAGCATAAGTGATTCTTCAACATATTCATATGGAAATTGCAAGTAGGAATGAAGTTCAAACAAGTTCATGCCCATCTGCTGATCTTGCAGAGAAACTTCCCATGCCTCTTCCATTCCTGGGAAGAACTATTGGTTACTGTCTGTTTGACATGGAGCAGTCAGGCTCTGTCATGTGGGTGCCTATGTGACAAGAGCCAACCCCTCCAAAAGTGAATCTAATAGAAAGACTGCTTTCCTTCTTTAAAAAGGCACCCAAGTCCAGAACTAGTGAACACTTTCTTACACCAAAGAGGCTTAAGTTGCTGTTACATGCAAGGAAATACTTGATGTAGAAATCAACCTACAGCTTCTATAAATGTTATCTTTAGGCTTAAAAGTATATCAAAACTTCAGGGCCATTAACTCAACAGTTATATCAAGCTTCTTAGGTGCTGTTGTTCAATTCCAGGAAGAAGGAGGATGTGAGATGCAAGTCATAGGAGGGATCTTCTGTATTTGCAGAGTGCAGCAAAGCAGGATCCATAGCTTTGGATTTTTGTGGCCTTGTGTTAATATTTTACACACTTTTCATAGACTCATGCATTCCACTTAAAGAAGTTTCGTTGAGATATCAGAATTGCTATAATCACTTAAAATTACTAATTTTGAATTCACAAATAGATTTTTTTAAATGCACAAGGCACTTTCTTTCCTAAGGTTGGACATTTTCTATATATAGGGATATGCTGATGTACAGTGTTTTCCCTTAGAGTTGTTTCTGTGCTTTAATAAAAAAAAAAGTAAATATTTTTGTATGCTATGTAAGTGAAATATATGTTTTACATTTCCAAGCCTATTAAAAGCATTAAAATGTAAAGTGTGATGACTTAGAACTGCTTTCAGTTTTGAAATTTCAAATACTTCAATCTACTTAACAAAGGAAAGCTGTTGCTGCCATTGAACTATTCCATGTTATTGGTTATTTAGCCAAGGCATACTAAAGTTGCTTTTAGTTAAAAGCTTGTGTTCCTTCGACTTGTGGCTGAACAGCATGTGCTGTCACCACAGCTTTTTGGTGTTATTTGGCATATCTTAACAGCAGGACCATTTCCCCCTCTGTTACAGAAACTGGTTGGTCTGAAACAGGTCAATCAGCTTAGCAACAGACTAAGTCTGTAGCCAGACTGTATTTTTTGAGACTGTGTGTGGTAGGACAAAGGTCATGGACTAGCTCGGAGGGGGATGAGGAGTCTGCCACTTTGGAGTGGTGGTGACTACACTGTACCAGTTAATCTGTGGGGAAGCTGAAGAGGGCTAGCTGGACAAGATGGACTGGAATTGACTGCTAAGCCCCAAAGACAACAAAACAGTCTAGTTCAGACTGTGAACTAGCTGTGCCCAGGTGGCCAAGAAGGCCAATGGCATCCTGGCCTGTGTTGGCACTAGTGTGGCCAGCAGGAGAGGGATTGGCCCCCTGTACTCAGCACTGATGAAACTGTGTTTCAAGTGTTCTGTCCAGTTCTGGGCCCCACAGTTCCGTGAAGTTTATTGCATTGCTGGAGTGTGACTAGGAGAGGGAAGCAGATCTGGTGAAGGGTCTGGAGCACAAGGCCTGTAAGGAGGAGCTGGGAGACCTGGGGCTGTTTAGCCTGGAGAAAAGGAGGCTCAGGTGCAACTTCTCTCTTCTAAAACAGCCTGAGCCTAAAAAACAGCGACGGGATGAGAGGACAAAGCCTCCAGTTCTGCACCAGGGAAGGTTAAGTTTGGGCACCAGGTGCAGTTTCTTCTCAGAAAGGGTCATTTGACAATGGACTGGGCCGCCCAGGCATGCGATGGAGTCACCGTCCCTGGAGGTGTTTAAAGAATGACTGGACGTGGCACTCAGTGCCATGGTCTAGCGGACACGCTGACGTTCGGTCACGGGCTGGTCTCGACGATGCGAGCCCTTCTCCCGACGGGTCCGTGATCCTGTGGGCACACCTCCTGTGGGCCGCCGCCCGCGCTCCTCCCAGGCGCCAGGGGGCGCCATCCCGCCCGTCCGTCCCTCATGACGCACTTCTCTGTCCCGTGCCCGTGACGCCGCTGCCA